ATATTATGTTCTTTCCTGTACAGAGAACTGTCTATTTCATTTTCAGTTCAAACTTTATTCTCATGGGAAATGCACCATTGAGCTTAACTGAATTCTAAACAGCTCTTATCACACAGTTAGAAAGCCAGAAAAATTGTGATAGTCATGGGACATTGCCTGCTTTTTGTGTGTTATTATTCAGTGTTGTTTGGTGTATTATGTCATTAAATAAAAAATTATTTAGTGCAATATTGCAGGGTTAAGTTTCATCGACAGTTAACAGCAAAAATAAAGACCCAAATAAGTACTATATTTCTTGTTTTTAATGTGTATTCTCTATTTATTATTACAAAAGTAACTAAAATGTAAAAATTAAAAACTTTTTAGGTTAGATAAGGTAAAATACTTGCTATTAGCCCATGCATTACATAATTTGATAGGGTAACGTGAGCTACACATTTGCCAAATGACTTACAACTTGTGTGGAAGGAACATTAGTTAGACACAGTTTAAAGAGCAATAAACTGTGTACTGTTACAAGTTTAAAGCTATTTAAAATAAAAAAGCAGTTTCGTGTTAAAATTTGTAGTTATGCTAGAAAAAAAGGGTAATTTAAATTTATTTCATTTTTTTATGGTGGTTACGAGGTCGGTCAAATTGACAAACTTTGTATAAGGTTAGAGAAGAAAAAATAACAGATGAAATATAAAGTTTTACTGAAAAAAAAGTTTGAAATTTATTGAGGAGGTTTTGGAGATTATTCAAACAAAATTTGAGAATTTTCAGATGATAAAAACTATTTTTATTCTTAACATGAAAATCTCTTTGCACAAGAAGCAGTCAACACTTTGACTCAATATGTTCACAGAGAAATTTATAGTGAAAATACTTCCTTAAAAATTCTGATTTTATATCCACAAAAGACACTTATTTCACAAGCTTTTAGTGTTTAAAGATACACAAAACATATTGAAAGTTATAGTATGAAAACTATAAAGATCAATTTGGGGTCACAAACTCGGTCAATTTGGCTGAGCCTGTAGCAAGAAGGTTAAACACTTCGAAAAGAAGCTTTGTGATCAGTGAAAACTTAGAAAAACTATTCAGTTGGTGTTTTATCCATTATAAATTAGTAGAAAAATGTGAAGGTAACAAAATAAATTAATTAGACTTTAGAGAAAAATCACCTTTAAATCACTATGGTTGTAATTTATTTACTTGGCGACATTTCTAGCAAATGCTCTTTTTCAAGCCAGAAAAAAGTCTGACATTAATGACATTAACCGACGGGCTTGTTTCTGGTTTGAAAAAGAGCATTTGCTTGAAACAGTGCCAAGTAAATAAATTACTATCATAGTGATTTAAAGGTGACTTTTCTCTAAAAATCTAATTTTTTTATCCACTGTAGCTGTGTTTCTGTTCTTACTATTTTACTTTATGAAGAAGTTTATATATGCCAGCTGTCAACCCACTGAATTTAGCAAAGATGTATTAAATAATGAAGGAACTGCTAGCTTGAGGATCAGTAAGAATATCTAATAATATCTTTGAATAAGTTTGCTAAAAGTACAATGCTAACAACACATGTAGAATCATTACTAATGCATTGTTATTATACTTCAAAGTATCATTAACTTACTTTTTTCTTGGACTTGAATACACTGCATTTGAAAACATTACTTCCTCCCTCTCTTGCAATGTAACTGAAGATTTTCAGGTCTTGGGAGTCATGAGAAACATAAAATATCCTAATAAATTCAAAACACAATTATGTAACATAAATGTGTAGACTTATAATTTCTACAGGTAAAACATATTGCAAAACTCATTGATAAATTCTATAAAGAAATAGGTGAAACAAAAACCATTTTGGTAATACTCCAGAAACATTTTAACAAAATAAAACAACTGTTTGATTGAGTATTTCAAAACTGTACCTGAAATTATAAACACACTTATTCATTCTTTAGCTGTGGCTAAACCTCAAATTTACTTAGCAAAATATATGGAAATCCAGTAATTTATATAAGCCCTACATAGAAGAAAATGCAAAACACAAACTCTTAGCCTCTGGTGAATTTTTAAAAGGTTGCAAACTTATATCATTTCTAAGCCTAAAAGCTTATTAACATAGAAGTACTTTTAGTATGTTATAGATGAGATGGAAATATTCATAGACTTGAAATAAGAAAAAATATGACAAACATTTTTTAGTCTATATTCATTTTTCAATGGGTACACAGTAATTAATATACCCTAAAATGTTTGTAAAACTCTGCAATCTGGGTGTTTAAGTTTCAAAGAAAGTAAATCAACATGTTTATTACCCTTTCCTTTCTAATGTGGCACAGTAAATGATATGAAGTGGTATGTTCATGTGATATTAATTCAGTGTATGTGTGAATATAAATATATTAAAGGTGTGGCGATACAGCGATATGATATGAGTATCGTATTGTGAAGCCATGATATGATTGTATCATTACATTTTCTGATATGATATGATTTATGTATCTTCAAGAAATTTGGCAAGCTTTCAGCAAACATTATAAGTCTTTTGTACAGAAAAAAATCAGAATTTCTAATGAAGTATTTTTGCTGAAAAATAATGATTTAATAATTAAAGATAAGTATTGAGTACTAATTGCTGTACTCATTTCTTTTATCAAAAAACATTACATGCAAAGTAAAATAACAAATTAACAATAACAAAATAGTTAGATATTAACTTTTTTTTATTTTTGGCAAGCTACCATTTAGTTAATCAAACCTGAGAATTTGAAAAAGCACTGTAAAATGTGAAGTACTTAAATAAGACAATGTTAGTAATATAGATAACAAATTACAGACAAGACCGTCAAACTTTGAAACAAACCGTTGGTAAAACTTCTGTCGTATTGCAGCATCAATATCTAGATACATTTTGTATCGACTACTATGATGAGAAATGCACCGCTAAGGGGCTAAAGCTTTACTTCAGAACACACACATACTATGAAACTTTTAAAACATACCACTCTTCATACTTCTGTAAATATGTAATCTATTTCCTTTATACTAAAGTATATGTAAGATCTTGCAAACACATATATAGTATGAGAGAGAGTCAATGTCACCCAAATTTGTACATCTGATGTTCTTCACAATTTCAATGTCTTTTTAATTAATTAATAATGTACACAAACAGAGCTTTGATTAAAGCATATACATGTATGTTTATCTATGACTCCCAGAATACTCTTTGGAGCACAAAATCTTTCTCATACGCGTGTGTACTGCATACACAACATTCCTTCCTTGCAACACACTGAATAAACGTTAAACGTAAAACAATCTACACCTTAAAAAATATCACCACCAATATAATTTCTGGCTTCAATGTTTAGAAAGGGTTCTAAGCTACATGTAAAGTTTCGTTTTCCTCTAAAATTGGTTTCATTATCAATTACTGGTCTTCATAGAATTAGTCTCATTTCCAATTCAAGGCACTTTACACCCCATAAACTCATTCTTAATGGCTTTTGATCAAAATACTTTCAAAAACCAATGGTCTTCAAGAGCATGTCAACAGAAATTGCTTTATTAACCTATGCTAAATATATTTAGTTATCAATACATTCTATTTCTTACTTATTAATATGTTATTTCTATTATTAAAAGAATCAGCAAATTTCATTTATGAGTTGCTCTTTCTGCTGTCTGCTCTTGATATAACCTTTTCATTAATACTCTATGAAATACAAGAAACATAGCAGTGTTTGAAAAGACTGTATAAAACTTTGGTTAAATTATTCAAGAAATAGGTTCTGGTACTCCGTAGTGGTGAGTACTGGCAGTAATCCTCAAGAGCACAAGCATTTGAACACAGGCAACCTTCCATGGACAAGTCAGAATACACCAGTCATATGAGTTGACAAATCCAACAAGTGAATGTAGTAGGTAATATATCACTCAAAACAGAGGAATTCCATAGAACAAATAGACAGAAATGAGAACCACAAGCCTAATAACATAGCAGGGAACAAACTGGACAAAGTCGTAAATGTGGATCCGATTGGGAGTACACATGGGAAATGGAAGGTAAGGAAATAGGAGAAAAGGCTAAATAACTTTCCTAGGCAACCGATGTCTTGGGAAGAAAGGTCCAACCCAGATAGAGGATAACACATGAGGAACAGCAAAGGATGTTGGAAACATTAATGGCATAAATATCAGAATGACAATAACCCCATGTAAGGAGGAAATAGGTTTGAAGGGAAAGATGGTTCAGGGAACACATTGCAATGGGTTCAAAAGGAAAACTGGATAGGGTATGAAGGGTAACATTGAGATCCAAATCCGACAGACAAAAAGACATTGTGGATGGACAAGACAAAAGGAATGGAAAAGGAGGTAAATAACTGGGGAGGAGAAAGAATTTCCAGAAGTGGGAGAATGGAAATGGTTCAAAACAGCAGCCTTATAACTAACAACAGCTTACACGAACAAACCCTGATCAAACAACCAGGTGAAGAACTGGTACAGATAAGGAACAGAAGGACAGGATGGGTGGTAGCCACAGCAAATGGACCAAAGTCTGAAGGAACACCAATGCCTCTGGTACACAGACAAAGAGGAAGGTTGAAAGGTATGAGCAAAGAAAGTTGCTACACTAGACGTCAGTCCATAAACTGAGGCAAGAGATCAGACAAAATCCATGCATGCAGATAGAGTATGGTAACACTGGAATGAACCATGTCAGATCACGGTTGTCAGAGGTGAGAATGAGACAAGACAGAGGTAAGGGCAGGGGATGTCACTCCAGCAAGGGCCAGAGCAGATGGAACTATGTCTAAGTCGGCCAATACCGGGCAATGAGCAAGACATGACGAGGAATGGTCTGGAGAAGGGAAAAACTCTGGAGAGGAGTCACTCCAGCAAGGGCCAGACCAGATGGAACTGTGTCTAAGTCAGCCAATACCGAGCAATGAGCAGGACATGACAAGGAATGGTCTGGAAAAGGGAAAAACTCTGCAGAGGAGTCTGATCGAAGGGTAGGTATACAAGTGAAAAACCCCTCCAAACCTAACTGAATGCATCTACTCCCAGAGCTGAAAGGTGTGGAAACAGAGACCACAAGGAAAGAATTTGGCATTCTAGTGGCTGGCAAACACATTTATGTGCAGTGTTTCCAGTTGAGAACACACCCACTGAAATACCCATGGAAGAAATAATCACTTCATGGGAATAACCTGGTTAGGTCAAGATAAGCGATCATCCACTAGATTCAGCAAACTGGGAACGTGACACACCAAGATCACCATGTAGTGGTTATGGGCCCAGTAAAGAAAATCCAGTGCCTGAAAACACAGAGATCTGGATTTGGTTCCTCCGTACTTGGTGATATAGCTGACAACAGTGGAATAGTCAGAATGAACCATAACCACCTGCCCCCCTCAGAAGTGGGAGGAAAATACAGAACCTGACAAACTGCAAAAAGTTCCTGGACGCTAGAAGGGAGAGTAGCCTCCTTGACAGACCATCAAATGGAAATCTCAGTAAACAGATGATACCCCAGACATGGTTGAGTAATGGGAACCCCCATCATGGACAGTTCCCTATTGAGCCACCAAGCAAGGTTGGTCCTCATTCCAGGGGGAAGGATAATGGAATGGTCCATGGGATTGTGGGAGAAGTTCTATTAGTGGAGAAGCATCCACTGACGGGAACGCATGTGAGCTCAACCCAAGGAAGCCCATATCCTCAAAAGAGAGAGAGAATGCCTCGTGCAGTGAGAAAAGGAGAAGATAGGGCCATTGAGATTACCCACACCATATCCTGAGCAAAAGTGAAGAAGGCTGGGCCCAATGAAGATGAGAATGAAAGAAAAATCCCCAATGCAATAAGAGATTCAAAATGACTTACAAAAGAGTGTACCACTCAACAAAACACATGGAGCAAAAGAAGGACTGAACGGCAGTACCCATACCTGGAAAACACGATCCACATGGATGAACCAAAGAAAATGATGTGACACTGGACCAGTTGGAATATGAGGATAATCATCTGTTACAATAACTTGATCATCCAGAGTCACGGGGAAAACCCCCAAAAGTGAGAGGCAGGATTCCATGGGGAAGCTAGTTGGCTCCAGATAAGAATTCAAACGGGATAGGTCTATGACGGGTCTCCAATTTCCCATCTGTCGAGGGATAACAAATAGATGGGAGTAAAACCAAGACTGAATGGGCACCACCCAATTGACAGCCCTTTTGTTAAAGAGGTCTTGAATAGACAAGGCAAAACAACTGGAAGAACTACAATCCCAAGGAGTAGGGAAGATGATGTTGGAAGTGGATAGGAGAGGAGTGGAACTAAGGACAGAAACCTTCAGATAAGAATCCAGAGAACCCACAGAACTGTCATGAAGTGTAGCCAAAAAGACACATAAGCTACACATACTTAAAGAACGTACTAATGAACTAATAAAACCTAGACATTTTTAGAGTATAGATAAAAATAATGAACCTGCAAAACAATGAAATTCAACCTAAAACATATATCAATAAGCAACACCTAAAGTACAAAACCACTAAAGGAACTTAGAAGATAAAAGACACATACATTTAGAATTTATTTATAAGTCCACTCGTAGAATCGATAAGACAAAGGACACAAAACTAAAATCTACTCTGAAGAACATGAGAATAAAAAGACACCCAGTTAACAATAATAATTTTTTACTCAAATCTAGTTCCTAATTAGATGTGATTAGTAGTAAAGAAAAAAGTTATGTTATTTAGTTTGTAAATAACATAAACAGTGAAAAGATGTACAAATAAAAAACCAACCCATCCACAAACTCAGTTGAAGAGGTAATTACTCAAGTAGCAATTATCATGAAAAACCCGTACATATACCAAAAATTAAACAAAAAGAAAATTATAATCATACTCTAAACACAAATATAAACTAAAGAAACTTAGGTGATAAAAGAATTATAAAAATCAAACTTGCCAAATACTGAGCAGAGAAGACATGAAAGACCTAAATTATTGTGTGTGGAAATTAAGTCAATCCATTCAAGTTCCTATAAACTCGCTAAACGTGGGTATACCAACTGGGAGTAAGAAAAACGCACTGAAAAAGTTACCAGAGATTACCTGGGAAATAGAACAATACCTAACCCAGGAGATAATATGGAGGTGTAGTAACAGGTGGAAAGTGCTGTAGAAAGAAATTTTCACTCAGTAGTTATATCCATCCTCGTAAAAAATTGTAACATGAAAGGAATAAATCGTCAGCCGAATGTAACACACAAACTTCCGGTGAACTAAATCCTGTGTTTCCCTAGCAGACACTGTCAACCCTAAGACTCATGTGAGAACCATTGTCTGTTGTCGTGGGAATTATATCATCCACCATATTAAATCTTGAATTCATATAAACATATTAGAATTTGGAAAACAGAAATATTTTTAAAACAAACGAGTAGAAACAATGGAAATCAATCACAAGAAGTCGAAATTAATACAAATTTGAGATCAAGCACAATGAAAATGTTGTAGTCACATGGAGAGCGAGTTAAAACACATTTATACATTAGAATGCCAATCAAGAAAGTGAGGATTACTCTAAGATAGTAGAGGTACCTACCTGTGCTAGTATAGAGGGCACAGTATGATTGGTGGAGGGTAGTCACATGATTAGCACATATTCTGAATTGGTGCGAAACTGATGGGGTGTAAAAGACTGGTGCGCTGGTAACAAAATTTTTTAGCAATGCTTAGAGGGCAGTCCAGGATCGAGGTAAGACCATTTCAGAAAAAAAAAGAAGCTTAATATTATCATAAATATTACTCCTGAGTACATAAGAACCTAGAAAAAAAACATCCTTGTT